CGTCCATTGAAGGCGGTTGACCAGAAATCGGCGCGAATGTGCTATACCAGGCTCGTCTTCGACCACGGACCTACCAGCGCCGATCTGAATTTGACCTCCCACGAACCCGGCCTTGAGAGAAGGGCCGACAGAGGACCACCTGGCGAACGGGGAGGAGGCACCGACCTGGATCCGGCGATGCATCCGCCGACAGGTCTTCGAGGGCCCCCCGAGGCCGAAGACGCACCGATTTCTGTCGGCGGCGGGGCAGAATGGGCCGCACCGGCGCTGGAGCGAGGGCACGGAGGAGGAGGAGGAGGAGGAGGAGGAGGAGGAGGGGGCGGAGGAGGACGAGGACGAGAAGGAAGAGGAGGAGGAGGAGGAAAACGAAGAGGAGGACGAGGAGGAGGAGGAGGAGGAGGACGGGGGCGCCGAGGAGCGAACTGGCCAGCAGGCGCAAGCGGGGAGAGGGGGCAGGCCAGGCGGCCGCGGAGCGGGGGCGACGCCCCCGCCGGCGACGGCAGGGCGACGGGGGGCCGGCGCGTTCCCCCCCCCTGAGCTCGACGCTCGCTTCGGGGACCTTCCTGGAGCCCACCTCAGTAACGGATCTGTTCGACCCCACTTCGACCCAAGTTCGACTCAAGTGCGACTCAGCTTCGACTCGGGTTCGACTCCGGTTCGACTCAGGGTCGACCCAAATCGACTGGCGTTCGACGCAGCTTCGACGCACGAGTGGAGCGAGTGGCTCCAGGAAGGTCCCCAGAACGAGCATCCAACCAGCCCCCTCCCAGCGACGGCCCCGACCCTGACTCTCCAGGAGGTTGCAGGAAAAAAAAGCGCCGCGTTCTGCAAATGTCTGAAGGCAAAGCCGAGGCCTTCAGCAGCGCGGGAGAAACGTCTACACGGACAGCCTGACGGAACTCCTGGCGCACCTCTCTCTGATCGGCGCTGGGCCCCCGACCCTGACCCTCCAGGAGGTTTCGGAAACATAGCGCCGCGTTCTGCGAATCTGAATGCAAAGCCGAGGCCTTCAGCAGCGCGGGAGAAACGGCTACACAAACATCCTGACGGAACTCCTGGCGCACCTCTCTGATCGGCGCTGGGCCCCCGACCCTGACCCTCCAGGAGGTTTCGGAAACATAGCGCCGCGTTCTGCGAATCTGAATGCAAAGCCGAGGCCTTGCGCAACGCGGGAGAAACAACTACACGGACAGCCTGACGGTCGGGGATGGACAGAACCCCATTTAGTAAAACGTGGTTTGGTGAAAACGACCTGAGGCCCAAACCTGGCGGGCGCAAGCCTGGAAATTGGCGGCCACGGCGCCCTCCCGAGAACCGAAAACGGACAATTCACTCATCGGCGTGCCACTGTTGTAGGGCGACGAAATCTATGCATATCCACTGCTGCTGGCCAGGCTCATCCGGGGCCCAGGAGTAGTGTATACGACCTCCTGGATTGGCCAAAGAGGCGTATGCAGTATTCCTGGCCCCAGGATGGGCCTGGCTTGCAGCAGTGGATATGTGTAAATCTCGTCGCCCTATGTTGGGGGTTCTGTCCACCCCCGACTTAAGCAGCGCGGGAGAAACAACTGCACGGACAGCCGGACGGCACTCCCGGCGCACCTCTCTGATCGGCGCTGGGCCCCCCCCGTGGCGGCGCGTCCGGCGCCGCCCCCCCGGGCGCGCTCCGCCTGCCTCAAGGGCGCCTGCCTCCGTGGGACCTGCGCTTTTTTTTTTGTTCTAAGGAAAAAATGAAATTTTCTGTCGTTCCCTTCTTCGTTCTAAAAAAGATCCCTTCACGTTTTTTCCCCTAAAACACTAACGTAGCGTTCTTTCGTTCTAAGAGATCCCTTCACTTGTGTTTTTCTGGAACAACCAGAAAAAACTAATGTTCTGTCGTTCACTCCTTCGTTCTCAAATATCCCTTCACTTTTTTCATAAAAAAATAACGTAGCGTTCTTTCGTTCTAAGAGATCCCTTCACTTGTTTTTCTGAAGCAACCAGCGTTCTTTCGTCCAAAAAAACATCCTGTGTGGTGTGGGTCCTCGTCTGGCACGAGATGGCCCCGCGTCCGTCCTCTCCCAGTCCTCCTCCCTCCTCCTCCTCCTCCCCCTCCTCCTCTTCGCTTTCCTGCCTCTGCTCCTCCGCACTCATCATCGTCATCATCATCATCAGCAGCAGCAGCATCATCAGCAGCAGCAGCATCAGCATCATCATCCTCATCATCATCAGCACCATCAGCATCATCATCAGCACCATCATCATCATCATCATCATCATCATCATCAGCAGCATCAGCATCAGCATCAGCATCAGCAGCATCAGCAGCATCAGCATCAGCATCAGCACCATCATCATCATCAGCACCATCAGCATCCTCAGCATCATCATCACCATCAGCATCAGCATCGTCATCAGCATCATCATCAGCAGCATCAGCATCATCACCATCATCACCATCGTCACCATCATCACCACCATCATCATCACCATCATCCTCATCATCAACATCCTCATCATGATCATCATCATCAGCATCGTCATCCACATCATCATCAACAGCATCAGCATTGCAATCATCCTAATCCTCATCAGAATCGTCCTCCTCCTCATCATCAGTAGCATCATTATCATCATCGTCGTCATCGGCATCATCATTGGCGTTATCATCATCATCAGCATCAGCAGCCTCAGCATCAGCAGCAGCATCAGCACAAGCATCAGCAGCATCATAATCACCATCACCATCACCACCACCATCATCAGCATGAGCATCAACATCAGAATCATCATCAACATCATCACCATCCTCATCCGCATCCTCATCATCACACCCATCATTATTACCATCATCAGATCACCATCACCTCATCATCGTCATGATAATCATCATCGCCATCATAAGTATCGTCGTCATCACTCCCCTCACACGTTTCGTGGCCCACATGAAGCCCCACCTACGGTACCAGTGTCACACAGCCAACATGTAGGCGACACCTCCGTTTCGGCACACCCCTCGAAAGTTTCGTGGCCCCAAAAGGAGCTCCGCGTAAGGCCACAGCTGCGCAGTCAGCATGTAAGCGACAACTCCGTTTCGGCACACCCCTCGAACGATTCGCGGCCCCACACGAAGCTCCACCACCGGCCCCAGTGGCGCATCCCGCATATGGGCGACAACGCCGTTTCGGCACACACACGCACACATACACACACACACACACCTCACACGTTTCGTGGCCCCACAGGGGAGCTCCACTTGAGGCCGCAGTGGCGCAGCCCGCTTGTGGGCGACACCCCCGCTTCGTTGCACCTCTCACACGTTTCGCGGCCCCACTGGGGAGCTCCACCTAAGGCCCCAGAGGCGCAGCCCGCTTGTGGGCGACACCCCCGTTTCGGCACACCCCTCACAAGAGTCCTGCTGGACCCCTCCTCCTCCTCCTCCTCCTCCTCCTCCTACTCCTCCTCCTATTCCTCAAAAGGGTCCTCCTCCTCAAGGAGGAGGAGGAGGAGGAGGAGGACGAGGAGGAGGAGGAGGAGGAGGAGGACGTGGCCCCACAAGGGAGCTCCACAGAAGGCCCCAGAGGCGCAGCCCGCATGTGGGCGACACCCACCGTCTCTCGGCACGTGGCCTCCCCCAGGGAGCTCCACCTGCGGCCCCGGCGGCACAGCCCGCATGCGGGCGCTGCCCCATAGGGAGCTCCACCTCATGCGGGACTCAAAATCGCGGCACTCACAACTGACTACCTACCAGACCACCCCAACCCAACCTGAAGACCCGAATTTCGGGTTGGGGGGGGGGTACGGGTTCCATATGTGCTTTCTCGATGTTCCCCGACCCCCCCCCACTGGAAATGGAGGTCAATTTGAGGCCTTCGGGTTGGGTTGGGGTGGTTTGGTGGGTGGTGAACAACTGCATATGGTTAGGCTCCTCGCCAAGCTGATGTTTCCACTCGCGGCACCTGCCGAATCAACGATGGACGGAGCATCCTTTCGCAAAACGCCTCTTCACCAAAGCTTATAGAGGGCACTCCACGTGCGCACGGCACAGCATTCCAGGTGGACCCCAACGGGTGAATTCACCGACGTCCGAAAACAGCAGAATCTATCCGGCGAAACGCACGTCGATAAGCGAAACCAACTTGGGACTGCACAAGACCACTCGAACGCCAATGTCGAGCGAGCCAGTACCTATCTTAGTCGGCGTGCCTGGGTGCTGGATGGGGAGGCGGCCAGGGGGTCCGAGCGATGGGCCCCGATAGTATCTGGCAGAACGGGGTTGTAAGGGCAGCCCCCAAACTTCAGTCCAAAAGCTTCAGTCCAACAGCAATCCCCGGACGCCTCCAGGGGTCCATCTGGTGCAGCGTTTCAGTCCCGACCCGTGTTTGACAGAAGGCCGAGGCATGGCAGCACAGCGCCGAGCTGGAAACGCTCCACCCGAGCCACCTGCCATCGCTCGGACATCCAAGCCCCGTGCCTCGTTCGGGCTCGTGCGTGTTTTCTTTTTTCTGTTTGTTCCAGGGGCGCGCCCAGGGGGAAGTGAGAAGGGGCGGGCCTTCTCAGAAGGCTCAGAAGCCTCCCAGCCTTCTGAGAAGATTCTGAGCCTCCCCCGAAGACACAAAGGAATTTCTCAGAAAGCGCGAGGGCTTCCGAGAAGAAGCCCCGCCGACTCCTGAGAAGGCCTGCTCCTTCGATCACTGCCCCCCCTCGCTTGCCGCCGATGCTGCGCAAGACGATCCAGGATGCTGCTTGCTGGTCGTCGCCGCGAAAACTGCGCACGTCTGAGCGATGCCGGGGCCATGTCTGGGGGATGGACAGACCCCACTTTAGTAAAACGTGGTTTGGCGAAAACGACCCGAGGCCCAAACCTGGCGGGCGCAGGCCTGGAAAATGACGGCCACGGCGCCCTCTCGAGAACCGAAAACGGACAATTCACTAATCGGCGTGTCACTGTTGGGGGTTCTGTCCACCCCCGAATGTCCGGGGACGGCGCCGAGAGACACTCGAGGCGGCTGCCGCCGCGCCTCGTCGAACTGCCGGAAGACCTCCAGCATCCTGCGCGAGCCCGCCTGCGGGCCGGGGGGGGGCACTCGCCGCCGCCGCCCACCTCCGCCTCGCACCTCCCTGGTGCTCCTCCTGTTCCTCGATCTCGTCCTCTGTTCGTCCCCACCTTCGCCCGCCGTCCCTCCTCCTCCTCCTCCCCCTCCTCCTGCTCCTCCTCCTCCTCCTCCTGCTCCTCCTCCTCCACGCTCGCCTCCCATTACTCCGTTTGACCCTGCGAGGAGGGAAAGAGGTGCGAGGAGTAGGAGAATGTCGGAGGAGAGAGACAGAGGGAGCGAGGAAGGAAAGGAGGGAACTGAACGATGAGGACGAAGAAGTAGGAGGGAGGGAGGGGAGAGGAGGTAGAAGAGGTTGGATTTGAAAATGAGCCATGCCCGAGGAACGACGAGGGCGCGTGGCGCACCTGGACCATGCGAAGATCCGCCACTTACGCCACCACTCCATATCGCTCAAGGTGTCTGCCCTTTGAGAACTTGGAAATTTCCCTACGCTCAAGTATGCTGCGTGAAGGGCGCGAATGGGGGGCAGCGTGAGAAGGAAGGAGGAGGTAGGAGGAATTCCTCCTCCCTCCTCCTTCACCCCTCCTCCCTTAGAGGCTCACTAGATGGGGTCGGAGGAGATGGTGTCGGAGGATCGCGCCGCATCGCCGAGAAATCGGCGAAGCACTGGCGACGACATCGGCGCTGCATTGGCGACGTCGGCGTGGAGAAGATCGGGCTCCACATCGAGCCGCATCGGCGATGCATCGGCGACGCGGCGCGATCCTCCGACTCCGTCTACCCCGGCCCCAATCAGAAGGCCTAGAGTAGGAGGGCCTCATCCTCTTTCCTCTTCCTCCTCTTCATCTTTTCCTCCTCCTCCTCCTCCTCCATCTCCCATTCTTCCTCATCCTCCTTCTCCCCCTCCACTCCACTCCCCCTCCTCCTCCTCCTCCTCCTCCTCCTCTTCCTCCTCCTCCTCCTCCTCCTCCTGCTCCTCCTGCTCCTCCTCCTCCTCCTCCTCCTCCTCCTCCTCCTCCTCCTGCTCCTCCTGCTCCTCCTCCTCCTCCTCCTCCTCCTCCTCCTCCTCCTCTTCCTCCTCCTCCCCCTCGTATCGCTCCTCGCTCGCTCGCTCGCTAGCCAGGGCTTGCCCCCTCCTCCTCCGCCCCTCCTCCCTCCACTCCACCCCGCGGGGCGAGAGGCCCCCTCCGCCCCGGCGGGGGGCGAAGAGCCCCCCCCCCCCCCGCCTTGGGCGAGCCGTCGGAGGCCTCCATCCACAGCACCCTGCCCAGGTGCGACAGGGCGGAGCGGGCCCACGGCGTAGCCTGTCGCCGGCCGGCCAGGTCGCCGTGGGGGTGGGCTGCGGGGGGGGGTGCAGGGAGAGAGGGAGGGAGAGAGAGAGAGAGGGAGAGGGAGAGAGAGAGACCGTGCGGGTGGGGGGTGGGGGGGGGGCAGGGAGAGAGGGAGGGAGACAGGGAGGGAAAAAGCAGGAGAGGAGGAGGAGGGGGAGGAGAGGAGGTGGAGGAGGAGGAGGAGGAGGAGCAGGAGGAGGGCGGGGAGGAGGGGTAGGAGGGGGAGGACGCAGGACGCAGCATAGAACGTACGAGCACAGGACGCAGCATAGGACGCAGGACGCACGAGCACGCCAGAGCAAGGAAATATGGAGGGCACAACTTAAAACACAAGACGTGCCGCGTGTCAGGTCAGACCGCCATCGCACGCCCGAGAGACCCAACAGAAACAAAAACTGAGCCCCAGTAGCTGGGTGCCGCCCGTCGGCGAGCCAGTCCCTGGCTCTACGCCGGGCGGGGTGAGGAGGAGGAGGAGGAGGAGGAGGAGGAGGAGGAGGAGGAGGAGGAGGAGGAGGAGGAGGAGGAGGAGGGAGGAGGGAGGTGAGGGAGAGGGGGAGGAGGAGGTTGACGATGCGACGCGCGTCTTCGCGAACGACGTGCTAGAGAGAGGGGACAGGGAGAGAGAGAGAGAGAGAGAGAGAGAGAGAACAAAAAAATCAAAAAAAAGAAAAGAGAGAGAGAGAGAGAGACAACAACAACAACCAAAAACAACACAAAGGAGGGGGGGACGGTGGCATGAGCGCGAACGCTCTGCTCCGTCGAAGCCTGCCTCGCTGTGCACTGCCCAGGGAGGGCCTGGCAGCAGCGCGGCGGGCCAGGCCCGCGGGGAGGGGCCGATGGGTCTGCTGGTCTGCGGTGGCGCGCTCGGCCTCCCTCCGGCGCCTGCCCCCCCGGAGGGCTGGCAGCAATCCTTACAAGCCGCTCGCTGTACAGTCGGCCTTGATTTGACTACCTACCAGACCACCCCAACCCGACCCGAAGGCCCGAATTTGACCCGAATTTCGGGTTGGGGGGGGGTACGGGTTCCATGTGTTTGTCCAACGTTCCCCGACCCCCCCCCACTGGAAATCGAGGATACATTTGGACCTTCGGGTTGGGTTGGGGTGGTTTGGTGGGTGGTGATGATTGGACAGGACACGCGAGAGGACGCGAGACCCTTCCGAGGGCCACATTGACTACCTACCGGACCACCCCAATCCAACCCGAAGACCCGAATTTCGGGTTGGGGGGGGTATGGGCTCCATACGTGTTTTTTCGATGTTCCCGGACCCCCCCCACTAGAAATCGAGGGTAAATCTGAGCCTTCGGGTTGGGTTGGGGTGGTTTGGTGGGTGGTGACACATCGCCACAGGAGCGTGAGAAGGCACGTGTCGCGAGGCACAGGACACCAGGGTACCCTTGAGCTGGCGAGGTCGACCTACTAATCCGGGCCGGCTGCACGCAGAGGGGGGGGGGGGGGCGGCGCGCGACGAGCGGGGGGGGAGAGGGGAGGAGGGGGACGGGTGGGAACGGAGGCCCAAAAAGGCCTCTGCGTCAGCGAGCTCACTCAGAACCCCTGGGGGGAATTCTGGAAAGGGGACCCTCCAGAGCAGGAGTCGAATATGGAGTTGAAGCTGGAATCGGGTGGACCTGGGCAACAACTCAACAACTCCATAATCATGCGGCGTATCATACTCGGCGAAGATATCTTCGGCAAATACATGCGTTTCGGGGTCGACATGTAATTGAGTATCTTTGCTGGCGGCGAAATCCGGAGCCACAATTAATTCCAGATCGCAGTCCTTGACGTAGAAAACCCACAGGTCCTGCACCAGTGGTGGGCTAGCGTCATTTTTTGATAATCTGGATGAACTACCTGCCCGATGACTGCTTGAATAGTCGGCAATCGCAGCAGCTATATGCATACACATACTGGGTAAGTAGGTCTCGTTGTCGGTCGTTTCGAAGGCCCCTTCTTGAGTTGTTATCCTTGAGCACCTTGCGAGATTATTCGGGGTGGTTGCAGTGGCCCCGCCTACCCGCCCCTTTTCGGTTAAGGCCGGCATGTTCATATCTATGAGCCTGGTTGTTCGAAAACTTGTGGTGCACGCGCTGTCGAAATCCGCTGTGACACATTTGTTGGGAACCCCCAAACCGGGTGGTGAGATACCAGGTGGCGACCTGGAATCCCCAAAAAGGTCACCGCTGGGTTTGGGGACGCGGGATCACCGCCGGGTTTTGTGACTCCTGGACCCACTAGTGTCCGGGACATCCTCGGAAAACCGCACGAGTCCCCAAACCGGGTGGTGACACCAAATCGCCCGAGACTCACCGCCAGGTGTTGTCACCACCACGTTTGGGGAATACCAGATGGCCTCGAGTGGATCCCAATATGAACTCCTTGGCGCCTGTGGTCTCCAGTGTGCTGGCAGGGGCTCCTCCATCCAGGCGTTCTGTCTCTGCTTGGTACGCAGTGGGGGGGCCCTTCCAGCCATCGTGCAACACACCAAGTCCTTGCAACGATACGAGCTGGCGCAACGTTCCGGCTCAATCGAAACCTGGATGCCCGCCTCAATTCTGCCCTGAGAATGGGTTCGGTACGAAGGTGCTCCTACTATGCATCCTACACGGGACGTGAAAGCCGCATCGCCTGTGCAATCCTGGACACGAGCTCCTAGAATTCGTCGGAAATTAGCCTGGCGAAGGACCCAACCATATGCAACTGTGAATACCGCAAGTGTGAATATAGTTTTCGGCGGCGCTACCTCTGGGTAGTGGAGACGCATGCGAACACCCCCACTGGGGCCTTCGGTGGAGCTCCCTCTGGGGCTGCGAAACGCTGCCCTGGGTGGGGGAACCGCATGCAGGCAGCCCCACTGGGGCCTTCGGTGAAGCTCCCTGTGGGGCCACGAAACGCTGCCCTTGGTGGGGGAACCGCATGCGGGCACCCCCACTGGGGCCTACGGTGGAGCTCCCTCTGGGGCTACGAAACGCTGCCCTGGGTGGGGGAACCGCACGAGGGCAGCCCCACTGGGGCCCTACGGTGGAGCTCCCTATGGGGCTACGAAACGCTGCCCTGGGTGGGGGAACCGCATGTGGACACCCCCACTGGGGCCTTCGGTGGAGCTCCCTCTGGGGCTACGAAACGCTGCCCTGGGTGGGGGAACCGCATGTGGACACCCCCACTGGGGCCTTCGGTGGAGCTCCCTATGGGGCTACGAAACGCTGCCCTGGGTGGGGGAACCGCATGTGGAGCTCCCTCTGGGGCTACGAAACGCTGCCCTGGGTGGGGGAACCGCATGCGGACACCCCCACTGGGGCCTTCGGTGGAGCTCCCTATGGGGCTACGAAACGCTGCCCTGGGTGGGGGAACCGCATGTGGACACCCCCACTGGGGCCTTCGGTGGAGCTCCCTATGGGGCCACGAAACGCTGCCCTGGGTGGGGGAACCGCATGTGGACACCCCCACTGGGGCCTTCGGTGGAGCTCCCTATGGGGCCACGAAACGCTGCCCTGGGTGGGGGAACCGCATGTGGACACCCCCACTGGGGCCTTCGGTGGAGCTCCCTATGGGGCTACGAAACGCTGCCCTGGGTGGGGGAACCGCATGTGGACACCCCCACTGGGGCCTTCGGTGGAGCTCCCTATGGGGCTACGAAACGCTGCCCTGGGTGGGGGAACCGCATGTGGACACCCCCACTGGGGCCTTCGGTGGAGCTCCCTCTGGGGCTACGAAACGCTGCCCTGGGTGGGGGAACCGCATGTGGACAGCTCCCCGACTGGGGCCTTCGGTGGAGCTCCCTATGGGGCCACGAAACGCTGCCCTGGGTGGGGGAACCGCATGTGGACACCCCCACTGGGGCCTTCGGTGGAGCTCCCTCTGGGGCTACGAAACGCTGCCCTGGGTGGGGGAACCGCATGTGGACACCCCCACTGGGGCCTTCGGTGGAGCTACGAAACGCTGCCCTGGGTGGGGGAACCGCATGTGGACACCCCCACTGGGGCCTTCGGTGGAGCTCCCTATGGGGCTACGAAACGCTGCCCTGGGTGGGGGAACCGCATGTGGACACCCCCACTGGGGCCTTCGGTGGAGCTCCCTATGGGGCTACGAAACGCTGCCCTGGGTGGGGGAACCGCATGTGGACACCCCCACTGGGGCCTTCGGTGGAGCTCCCTATGGGGCCACGAAACGCTGCCCTGGGTGGGGGAACCGCATGTGGACACCCCCACTGGGGCCTTCGGTGGAGCTCCCTCTGGGGCTACGAAACGCTGCCCTGGGTGGGGGAACCGCATGTGGACACCCCCACTGGGGCCTTCGGTGGAGCTCCCTATGGGGCTACGAAACGCGTGAGAGGTGTGCCGAGAGCAGAGGCAAGGAGGGGGAGGAGGGCGAGGAGGAGGAGAAACGCGGGGCACCGTCTCTTCAAAACGAGGACCCAACACCACAGGATGGTTGGGAAAAAACAGCTGTTCATGTGTCGGAGCAGACTCGGAGGATCGCGCCGCATCGCCGATAGATCGGCGATGCATCGGTGATTCATCAGTGATGCATCGGCCATGCATCGGCGACGTCGACATCATGCAAATCGGGCCCCGATTCGTGCCGCATCGGCGATGCATCGGGGATGCGGCACGATCCTCCGACCCCGTGAACTCCGACCCCATCTGGGAGGCGAGGAGGATGAGAAGTAGAAGGAGGAGGAGGAGCAGGAGGGTTGGAGGAGGAGGGAGAGGAGGAGGGGGAGGATTGGAGGAGGAGCAGGAGGAGGGGGAGGAGGAGGAGGATGAGGAGGAGGAGGAGGAGTGGAGATGGAGGAGGCAGGAGGAGGGAGGAGGGAGGAGTAGGGAGGGTGAAGAGGGAGGAGGGAGGAGGGGGTCTTGTATCTTCGATCGGCGGCCAGGACAGACGCCACCTGGGCCGCCGCGCCAACACCGCAACAGATGGTGCCGTGGAGACACGGCCCGACGCACAGTCAACCCGTGTCGTGCGGAGGCGCGAGCAGGATGCAAGGGGCCTCGGACGCCCATCCCGAAGCTTGCTCCGAGCGGGGCGCGGCCACTCCGAAAGCGGCGAAGGGTGGACCGAGGAGGCAAGGCTGCAGCGGTGACCCTTGGTAAGGCTGCCCGTCCTTCCTGTGCGGGCTGACTGCACGCGGCGCTGCCGCGGCGCGAGGCCTCTCACCGCGCCCCCTGCGACGTGAGCCGCAGCACCAGGCGCGGGTCCAGCCGCACCCCCGGCAGGCGCCGCAGCTCCCCGACGAGCTGCGCCACCGGCGCCCTCTCGGCCTCGAGGCGGGCGATGGCCTCCGGGGGTGTCTCGGTGTGTGTACGCCGCTCGGCGACGCGAGCCCGCGGGGGGGAAGTGCGGGGGCGGGCCTTCTCAGAAGGCGCGGAGGTCCCCCGACCGTCTGAGCAGTGTCCTGAGCCTTCCCCCCGAAGGCACAGGGCCACTCATAGGAAGGCGCGAGGGCTTCCGAGAAGTCCCACCGCCTCCTGAGAGGGCATTCTGCTTCTCGCTTCCCCCCTTCGCTCGCCGCCGAACCACGTCGCTTGGTCGTTCCAGGGGCGTCAGGACCAGGAGTCGGCTGGGGTCAGAGGTGGCCCAGCAGTGTGTCCGGCGAGCCAGAAGGGCGAGCGAGGCTCGAGGTTCTGGGCTCGATACGCTTTGTTGTTTTTCGCGTCTGCAGGGGCCGCTTCTGGGCCCCGGGCCCATGAGTTCTGCCAGTGACTGGTGTGTACAGACGCTCCAGCCTTGCGCAGGTCGGGAAGCTGGGGCGTCTGCACGCCGAGCTCGTTGTCTTAGGTCGGGCATGTCCCCCTACAGGCAGACTTCGGAGGAACAATTGGCAAGAGTCAAAACAATATCCAAACATGGTCAAACTACAATCGAATAGCATCGCCCTCAGGCCACAACTATGATCGAATAGCATCGTCCCCAGACTACTTCTTGATTATGTTCGAAGATTCCTCCTGTAGAGGGACATGCCCGAAGTGATCCTTGTCCGACCATGCGACGTTATGTATACGTCGCGCCCCTGCCAGGCCTCGAGCGCCTGGCCGACGACGTCCGGGGGCAGGCCCCCCCGCACCTATGGCGGAGAGGACTCTGTGCACAACCAGAAACTTCCGAAACCCACGCGCGTGCGGGGCAGGGGGGGCACCCGTGCAGTGGAGGCCAGTCCACAAGAAACCTTCCACGAGAAGCCCAATCTCGGGTCGGGCGAAAGGGGGGGATAGCAAAGGGGGGGTTTGCAGCTCACGTAGCTGATTTTCCCGGCGCCTCAACGCCCGGCCCCGAAACCAGCTGCATGCAGCAGATTTCGTAACCCCCCCTTTCCCAAACCCCCCCTTTCGCCCGACCCGACAATCCTGAGACCCCAGGACGCCCAACGATTCTTGGTGTGGGAACGTCACGCTGTCCATGGCAAAGCCATGCAAGCCCGAGGAACCCAGGGCACCCTGGAGGCAAGCAGGGTGTTTCGTGACGTGGGTCTCCATGGTATCTGTGTCCGCCGCGTGGGCAGCCGACGTCCCGGGCCCCCGACGGACGGTGGATTTGCACACGATCTTGCTCTGCCGAAGCTGGTACACGCTTCCCTCGTCGCCGAGGCCCGGGTCGCCCCGAAACCCTGGCCTTCACTCGTGCCTGTCCTCCTACAGGGGGATTTGGGGCGAAATATTGAAATGACTCCAAAAATGCAACACACATGCTCAAAAACAGTCAGAAAGAACAGTCCCCCGACTATTCTTGACTATGTTTGAGCATTCCCCCTGCAGAGGGACAGGCCCGACTCGACTGGCAAGAGCGCACCCTGGGAGGTGTCCGCGGTGAGCAGCGGTGTCGGTACACGTCTGCTGCCACACCGTTCGGCGCTCCTCGCGGGCCGCCCTTGGATCGGTGCTGGGCCGCCCCCTCCCTGGAGAGCGGAGTGCGCCAGGGGCGGCGCCAGGGGGGCCCAGCGCAGGTCCAAGAAATCGGCGCGGACGGCCGAGAGATTCGCGAATGTACTTTTCTGTCTTCTTCGAACACCTGCAGCAGGTGCCGCTCGGCCCTCCTCGCCGCCGGGTGCGGTCCTGCCAGGCCTGATTGGGCAGCGGGAGGGGGGGGGGACGCCTCGGGGTGGAAGCGCTGGGTGGCGACGTTTGAGCCTTCCCCCCCCCAAGCATGCCGCCTGAATCGATGGGAGGCGGCGGCAGGGTGCGGATCGCCACGTGCTCGGCGAGTTCCCCACCCTAAGTTCCCCCGCCGCCCGTCGAGCTGCCTGCATCGTGGATCGGCGAGGATAGGGCTCGAAATTCGCCGCCAGCACATTGGATCCTGGAGCCGGCGATACATCGCCGAGGGACGACCCTCGATGCCCGCCGATGGGCCCCCGACGGCGAGCCCTCCGCTCCAGCGCGGGGTGGGCTATCGGGCCCGCCATCGGCGATCGGTGGGCGATTGGGGGTCGACGTAGGGGAGCAATCCATGGGCTATCGGCGGTCAATGGGCGAGCAATGGCCCGCTATCGGCGATCAATGGGCTATCCCCCCTGGAGCCAAATCCCCCCGATGGTCGCCCCCGAAGGCCGTAGGCGGCGCGGAGCATGCCCGCAGCGCCGCCGGCGTCGTCCTCGGCCACGAGGGCGCGCAGCAGCAGCGTGTAGGTGCGGGCGTCGGGGCGGACCCGCTCCTCTGACTCGCAGTCTATCGTTCCCTCTCTCCCTTGCACCCCCTCCTTCTCTCTCTCTCTCTCTCTCTCTCTCTCTCTCTCTCCCTCTGTCTCTCCCTCTGTCGTTCCCTCTCTCTCTCCCTCTCTCCCTCGCTCACTCCCTCTCTCACTCCCTCTCACTCCCTCTCTCTCTCGCTCTCTCCCTCTCTCTCCCTCTCAATCTCTCTCTCGCACACACACACTCACACAGAAACGCGCATAGTGACCTTTTCTTATTGTCCTGGGTAACGGTCGTTACAGGGGGGGGGGCGGGCGGAAGGGTGCTGGTAACGGCGGCCGCGGCGTGCACCCGCTACGGTGCGTCCGCGCCACCAGCGCATCAATCGCAGGTGCGCACCACAGCATGTAGGTTGGAGGGGCGGGGTCCAGGCTACTCCCCCCTCCCAATACACTCGTTAGCGTTACCTCAGGAGTGGGGAGGGGGGGGGGTGGGCGGTTTGGCCCGGGTAACGAACGTTACCCTGGGGAGGCAAAACCACACTCACAACACAAAAAAGGTTCAAATTAGACAAATAACAAACGCCACAAACTGAAGGGCCCCCAGGACACACAAATAAATACACACAGATAAACAGATTCCCCATATTTCCATATATTTCCTGGGTTTCTGTCTTCCCCCCCACTTCCCATATTTTTCCATGTGTACTGGGGGATCGAGGATTAATTGTGTCTGTGTGTTTCTTTGCCTCCTGACAAGACGCCACAAGCATGAAACTTGTGGTGCTCTGCGCGGACTTCTTTGCTCCGCGCTGGCCCCTGGCCCGCGCGGAGCGCGCCAGGGGCCGGCCAGGATCCAAGAAATCTCCTCCTCCGCCTGCGCCTCCGCCTCCTCCTCCTCCTCCTCCTCCTCCTCCCTCCTTCTCCTCCCTCCTTCTCCTCCTCCTCCTCCTCCTCCTCCTCCTCCTCCTCCCTCCTTCTCCTCCTCCTCCTCCTCCTCCTCCTCCTCCTCCTCTTCCTCCTCCTCCTCCTCCTCCTCCTCTTCCTCCTCCTCCTCCTCCTCCTCCTCCTCCTCCTCCTCCTCCTCTCTTCTCCTCCCCCTCTCTTCTCCTCCTCCTCTGCGCGGAGCGCAACAAGTTTAGGTTTGTGGCATTGTTGTCTACACCGACACAGGCACACGCACACGCGGGGAAGCGGCCGTGCGCGCCCCAAAGAGAGAGGACCCCTCTCTCTCCGAGGCGAGGGGCGGGTGTCAGAGGACGGCCGGAGCGCGGGAGCGGAAGGACGAGAGGCGGAGGGCGAGGCGGGAGGCGGGGAGCCTCAGCCCCCTCCGCACCGATCCTCCAGGAGCTTCTCGAAGACGCCCAGGGCGCGCTCGACGTCACGGTTCTGGACCTTAGCTGCCCAAATACGCAACGCGCGACACGTCGCGTGTTGGCACGACGTGGACTGAACACGTAGGTCTGGCACGACGCGCTCGCCACGACGTGGACCAACACGAGCGGAGCCAGCACGCAGCGTGTCCACACGGACGTGTTCGAAAACGGTAATCACCTGTCGGATTGCAACAGGGCCGTATCAGGGCAGCTAAGTTCTGGACGCAGGCGTTGATAAGGTTGTTGTACACGTGCACGTTCAGCCTGAAACGGTACCTCTTGGAGACGTCGGCGCACAATTCGAACGCCTTGTCCAGCTGGTGGCTACGGTTGGCAAGCTTCACAAGGACCGAAAGGGTGAAATTGCTTGGCGACACGCCGGAGTCTTGCATGTCCTTGAACAAAGCGATGCCGCGCTCATAGAGGCCGTGGCGAGCGCAACCATCCAACAAAGTGTTGTATGTGATCTCGTCTGGCTTGAGCTGCCTCCCGTCTTTCATCTCGCCGAGCAGGTCGAACGCCTTGTCGAGGTCGTTCTCCTGGCAGTACCCCTTCACAATGGTGCTGAAGGTGATGAGGTTCGGCTCAATTCGCTGCTGCGACATCTCCTGCAGCAGGGCGGGCACGCGGGCCATGTTGCAGCTGCGCGCGCAGGCGTCGATCAGCAGGTTGTACGTGGCCGAAGAGAACTGCAGGGCCTTCTTGTTGGAAGCGGCCAGGGAGTCTGCGCTGCATTGGCCCCGAAAATCAATCGGGAGGCCGGGACGAAGGCACATCCGCTCAACACCTGTCCAAGGACCCCTCCTGTGGTCGACACTGACCAGTTCTCCGAGCCGCATCCAATCGTGGCGACGAAGAAGCCCGTCTCTTCCCCCCGTTCTGCTGGCCGGGACCAGCGCTTGGCCATCTCAGCCCCCCAGCTGGCTCCAACCTTCATGTCCGTCTGCATCTCACTGTACATCTCCCAAACTCGGTCGAACTGCTTGCGGTGGGCGAAACCCTTGATGACAGAGCAGTAGATCACTGCGTTCACGAGCGGTCTCGTCGAGGCGCTCCGCTGCATCTCTTCTACCATCCTGTAGCCGGCCTCGGGGCCGTCGTTTCCGACCAACGCCTCGACCATGCACCCCAGGGTGATGCTCGTCGGCAAGACGTGGCGCCTGCGCATGTCGTTCCAGGTGGCCCAGACACCCTCCAGGTCCTCTGCTGAGGAAAGGGGAGGGGGAGAAGGAGGAGGAGGAGGAGGAAGAGGAGGAGGAGGAGGAGGAGGAGGAGGAGGAGGAGGAGGAATAGGATGGGGGGGAGGAGGGAGAATAGGAAGAGGAGGGGGCGGAGGAGTAGGCGGAGGACGAAAAGGAAGCGGAGGAAAAGGAGCAGGAGAAGGAAAGGGGGGAGTGGCGGGGAGGAGGAAGGGGAGGAGGAGGAGGAGGAAGAGGAGGGGGAGGAAGAGGAGGAAGAGGAGGGGAAGCGAAAAAGAGGAGGAGAACATGGACGAGGAGGAGGAGGAGGAGGGGCAAGGTCACGGGGTATACCAGCTCAGGAAAAAAAGTGTCGACCCGGAATGGGCGATACATCGCCGATAAACGACGCATCGGCGATAGGCTATCGGAGACGGATCCGTTCCGTCCTTGGCGGAACGGGCCCGCATCAGCGATGAATTGGCGATTGGGGGTCGATCCGCCCCCACCTGATAGGAGCCAGAAAAAAAAAAACACAAAAGGAATTCCACACAAAAGGGATTTGGCACCGCCAACGGTGCAACGCATGTGCACATGCCACTGGGTCCCCATATCATGCAGTTGACACGTGTGGTGTGACAAGGTTGCCGGCGGCGGCAAGATCCCAAGATCCGCTACCAACAATCATTCCATGGTGGTTTGGCACAGCCAAACCACCGTGCAACGTCAGTTTGTTCATCCGTTGACAACAGCACGCGCCGCGGCAGCAAAACGCATTGGCGCGCGCGGGCATGCAGGGCCAGCGACGTGGCTGGCCAGTTGCCAGCGCGGCATCCACGTAGGATCGTCTCGGGCGTGGTATGCTGCGCACTTGCATCGCGCTGCCAGGCGCCGCGGCCTTGCGATTGTAGCGCCAGGCCCCGTGCGCCCTTCGAGGCGGGAAAGCAAACCCCACACAAAGGAATCACGCGTGCTCTTGTGGGGGCGGCGAAAACGATCGTACACAAAGGAAAATATGTTGTGCGCCCCCCGCGTTGGCAGTGTAACCAGACCGCACACCAAATAGTTACACGAGGCTTCGTGGCACATAGAGGATTACAGCAATCCCCTTTGGGTTGCGCTCTTCGTGCGCGGTGGCAACTCCGAGCTGGAAAGGAAAAAGGGGGCGGGGTAAGGCAAAGCAGGGGAAACGGAAAAAAAAGAGGAGGGCGAGAAAGAAACGAAGGAAACAGCGGGAGGAAGCCTGCATGCGCGCAAGCGAAGCTAACACTGCGCGCCGAGACAGTTGTTCGTTCGCTCGATTGGCCGCGCGGCAGATGAATAGAAAAATAATGGTTTGCTGCCTGTCGACGGGACTTCTTGGGAATGAGATTCGCGTTCTCTTCTCAACCCCCTTTCCCACGCCCCGTTGCGAGCGCGCGACGATTTGTTCTGGCCCGCGGGCAGAGGACTGCCAGCTGCTGGTGAACGGCCTTTCCACCCGACCAGCTAAACGCACTTGCCACGCAAACTGCCAGCTCCAAACACCGACGCCACCCCGATCCCCGCATCCGTGCCAGGCGCCCTCTCAACGACACCCCTTTTCTGGCGTAGAACCAATAAAAGGCCTTGGTGTTTATGCTTGTTTTTGTCCATTCTGGCCTGAACCCATCCCGGGGCCCTCTACCCATCGGTCGGAAGACCTGGGTAAACAAAAACCACTGGAAGCGGGACATCGTGATACCCGGGAGATAATCAAATTCGGGGGTCCGGCGGGGATAATCCACGATTTTCCCAGGGAAGGTGAAATTATGATGATGATGATGATGATGATGATGATGATGATGATGATGATGATGATGATGATGATGATGTTGGCCTTGGCCAAGTCGTCGTCACTGGCTTCTTTGAGCTTGTTGATCCACTCGTTGCCTCGGGCGCACATCTTGATGAGTGCACGGGCGTTTGGCGGCCCTCGCCACGGATCTCGCGCAGGGCGCGGTCGATCCAGCACTCGCCCGCAGGCCGCAGGACCACGCGTCGGCTTGGAACCATCAACGTGAGATGATAGCAGCTTCGATTAGCAACTTACCCGGTGGATGATAAAGTTCGGCCTCCGCGCCCCTCTCCACTATTAAATCCTGTTGCTCGGGGATAATGAAAATAAAGGGGGTGAAGGGGGGACCTCTATTATCGCCCGCACCCGGTTAGGAAGAAGGAAGGCGTTGCAAGTAGATTGGGTGTCCGCCCGAACTCTGAAAGAGGACGGAAACAGTGAAGCCACTCGATCGTTGAAGTAGGAAGTCGCGTAAAGTAGGGAAATCCAGGAGTACCTATTTTCAAGGAACGATGGGTGACGTTGTCGCTGACGCGCATGCGGCGTGCGTGGGAAACCAACATATACCCATACGGCGACTCCCCAGACCTCTCCAAAGATGCGCTCCGACTGCAATTTCGACGCGCATCCAGCCGTGGCGGCGAGGGCCTCCCATGAGACCCAGGGAGGCGAAGACGAGGACAGGGTACCAGCCCTCCCTCCTCCCTGAGCCTACCACAGTCCCACTGACCCTCACGTTGCCCCCGAGGTCCCCCACGAAGCCGTAGGCCCGGATGATGCTGCCGAACGTGTGGGCTCCCCGCACCACGACCGCGCCCTCCCCACGCCGGCGCTGCAGCTGCTGCCGCAGCAGGTCCTGCTGGCCTGAGCGGATGCACGCCTCGCACACGGCGCTCAACAGCACCTCCCGGGGAACGAAGAGCTGCATACGGTCATCGCGCCACCACGAAAGAAACCTCGAGCAAGAAACGAATGGGCGTTTCAGGCCACGGCGAGACTCGGCTTCAGATCGGTTCCCCGACCTATATCTGAGCAACGGTCCAACCCCAGGCCCCTGTTGAGCCCGAGGTGGTCCCTATGGCAGCGTCTTGACAGCACGATGAGGGCATTGAATAAGGAACCATTGGGTAAGCACCGAATGCAGGGGCTGAAAGCCAGTGTAGCTCCAATCGTGGATTGACCATGGTTATGACCGCCGTCCCCTTACCAGACACAGCAGGAGCTTGACGAAAACCAAACCCTCCATAAGAAACCCAACCTGAGACCCCAGGACAGCAGGGCGTTTCTTGGCATTGGCTTCCGCTGTAAGGGGTCATCCAGTGCCTGAAATAGAAGAACACAAAAAGGCATAAACATAAACTGTTGGCGCTCCGTGCGGATTTCTTGGATCTGCGGAGCGCGCCGCGGGCGGCGCCAGAGGCGCCGCCAGAAGGTCCCAAGCGCCGAGACAAGAAGTCCGCGTGAGGCGCGTTATGACGTTTGTTTCCTCTCCGATGTAAAGAGTCCTCCAGGGGGAACCTCCTGGGAACATTCCCGAGTCGAACTTAAGTCGAACCTGAGTCGAACCCGAAACGAAATTGAGCCAAAGCCGAACTTGGGTCGAACCCGAGTCGCCGCGCGGAGCGCCCGAACTGTATGTATGGAAATGTTTCTTCTTCGATGGATCCTCCTGGGCACGCTCGTCGACGAACGCCACCAACCGTGAGGACACACAAACCTCGGGACACCTCCGAGCGGAGGCCTCGGGAGACTCCACATGCTCGAAGAACAGGCGCCAAAAACAGCCAAGAATCCACCCCAGGGGGGAGCAGAGGGGGGAGGGGGGCTGCGAGGGCCCGCGCCGATCGGCTGAACAGTGAATGAGAAAACGACGACCTGGGCACATTCCTCGACGAAGGCCCCCAACCGTGAGGACACGTAGACCACGGGAGGCCTGGGCGCGCGGGGACCTCTGCCTCGGCGTCGGCGCCGGGCACCGCACCCCGGCGCCGCCGGAGGGGCGCCGCCAGGGGCGCGACCAAGACGCCGATGCTGGAAACCCTCGCGAAGCCTCGAGTGTTTTTGCAGTTGCCTGGACGGGCGTCGCGTTAGGTCGGCCATGCCCTCCCACAGGCGGACTATCGAGGAAAAACCAAAATTAGTCCTTCAGCATTTGGAAATTATCCAAACACATTCAAACTAAATCGCCGGGATATGATTTTGGGGGATATGTTTCGAACTGTTCCTCATGCAGAAGGGCAGGCCCGACTTGTGCGTAACGGCGCGTGCCTCGATAGCAGGCGAGCCGACGGCGGGCGGGGCCGGCTGGGGGGCTGCCCCCTTACGAGGGCCGAGGGCGTGGGAGGACGAGCGACGAGGTGGAGGAGGAGGAAGAGGGAGGAAGGGGAGGTGGGAGGAGCTGAAAAAGGATGGGACGGGGACGATCGAGGAGGCGAGGTGGAGCACGAACGAGAAAGGGTTGGCCGAGGAGGAGGGGGGAGGAGAAGGAGGAGGAGGAGGAGGAGGAGGAGGAGGACGAGGAGGATTTTTTGACATCGACGACAACGCCTCCAAATCCTTGGACTGACCAAGGTAGCGAGCCAGCAGCGGAGGGGGATGCTGGCTCCCCGAATGGCGACCAATTCTGTCTGAGTCACCTGAATCAAACACGCAGGCTCGTGAGGCCAAGGGAGGAGCAACGTTCTCCTGCCGCTCGAGCTCAAAACGGGCCTGGCGCGACTTCTCTCTAAGAGAATGGGCGGGCGCAAAGAACCGACGAGCAGGGGCAACAGAGCTGCGAGGGGCGAGATCGAAAATATCGCTGGCGAGCGCAGCGCCCACTTCGTCAGTGCCCGACGAGGGCGCAGGCGGGGTGACCACCTCGCTCCGCTGCGACAAGGAAAGCACACCACCGAACGCATTGCCGTCCACGTCCGCCCCCGAAACAGGAATGGGAGGGGAAGGCACCTCGCTCAGCAGCGGGGCGGGGTTACGCGCCAGGCGCGAGGGCAGCGGCAGCGCCAGAGCAGGCCGCCCGTCCAGGCTAAGTTTGCGCGGCCGAGGCAGCGCCGTGGGCCGCGCAGAAGACGAAGCTAGAAGCTTTTTCCTCTACTCCAGAGTCATCATCCCTAGGCCCAGCCTGATCAGGCTGAGGCTCAAGGGATGAAGGTTCAGAAGATCCCCTCCCGCCCCGCCCCAGCCACATCCCCCCGCCCCACCCCAGGGGAGAAAGGAGGTTGAGGAGGGGCCGCAGGACCAGGGAGATCCTGATCGACCTGAAATCCCGGCTCGTCAGCATTGAAATCAAGCCTGTTGAAACACCCGACGAAAGAATCAAGATCAACCGAAACACCGTGCTTGCGCCGAAAGTAGTGGGGATGTCTGCCACGGCAGAGCTGCACCTACCCAAGCCTGCCAGCACGAGTCGAAGGAACACATGTACTAGCCAAGCCTCCAGCTTGGCCTCCAGACGAATGGCACTTGCACCTCAAACGTACCAATAACACGGAATGGCCCGAGCATTCGAAAGCCAACGTCTTATGGCCCAAACGGTCTTGATGAGATGCGTGAAACTTACTGTCACTAGGACATATTCTACTGGTAGGGGAACCAGAGATCTACTGCCTTTGAAACAAAACAGGCACCTCTAAATCCCCGCCCAGAGCTCCCATCGATGACCCGCAGAGGCACTGGCAGGAGAAGAGGGCGGCTTAACGCGCTCAGCGCACAAGAGATCGCCCAGGGACCAAAGATGGAGGGCAGCACTGGCGACTTCCAAGGTGGCCATAGCAAGACAAACCAGATCGTCGGCACCCTTGAGCAGACCAGCGTGACAGGGATGGATGCGCAGAGCCAGCTCCGCTCCAACATCGGCGAAATTGTTACCTATGCGGCGCCGTCGCTCGTCGGCATCGATCGAAGGATCGCCGGTGTCCTGGTGGGCATCAACCTTAGCGCAGCGCGAAACCGACGAAAACTGGCCATGGCACTGAAGGAAGGCTCCAGAGTACATCTCGCTGCCAGATAATTATTCAGGCTTAGAACGAGCAGCGAGCCTAATAACATTCAAGCAGTCATAGTAAACTTGGCACTCGTCGGGTTTAGTGGCTAAATCGTTGGCCCAAACGAGGGCGCCAAACTCCGCGCGCCGGGGGTGACCGGGGGCGGGGGCTCCAGACGGGAGCTCGGAATCCGGCTGCGAGGGCCACTCCAGCATCGACCATGCAACCAGGGCTCGCACCACAAGTAAGCTCCCAAACGGGGTGCCGAGCACAAGAAACATCTACAAACAGCGAGCCCCAACCGCCATTGGTGACGGGCCCTCCGTCGGGGGCCGAATCAAGAGGAGCGCGCCGAGAAAAGACCGGGCCATCATCAGCCCCCGCATCAGGCTTGGGACAAGAGTCGGCGGGGTGCCAAAAAGGCCCCAGGAATAGAAAACGAAGTGGTCTTCGTGCTCCCCAGTAACCTTAGCAGACAAACCAGCATCAATGATATCATGCTCGACGGCTCCAACACGAGCCTCCAAGACCTCGGGGCGCTAGCGCCCCCGCAGGCGGCGGCGGGCGGCGTCTCTGGCACCGCGGAACACGCAATCAAGAGAGACACAATAGCCGAGACATCCGCCCTGGCAGCCGTGAAAAAGGCCTCGGTGGCGAAAGCTCGGGCCCTGGCCTTCTGCAGGGCCGTGGGCTTCCCGGCCCCGGGGGGGCCGCTGGCCGAGCAATGTCGTGGCAGACCCTGGAAGATATCCCCCTCTTCACAGCCGAATCGCGCTCAAGCATGCGAAGATGCCCCATCGCGGACCAGGGGCCTCACAAGGGCATGGGGGATCAAACCAAGAGGGATAACTTGCCTGAAATCGCCCACTAAACCATAACATCTCTAATGTGCCACCCGAGGCGGACTAGCGACATGCGGGGGGCCAGAAACTTGGCGCCGCGAGCAGCTATCGCGAGAAAACACACATCTCCATACAGCATGGAGGGTCTTGAGGCTGCGGGCCCAGGGATAAGCAGACGTCTGACTGATCCATATCTCTTTGCCCCGCCCGGTGGTTGGCGCCGTCGCCGCGCGCCGCGTCGGATCTCAATCCAGCAGGGAACTCGCCGTGAGAGACCTCGCAGTTGGCTGCGAGGCCGAACGACCGAAGAAACTCGACGGCGCAGCAAGCTAAGGTCGTGATCGCTGATGCCCGTGACCTCAGTTCCATATGCGGCCCCAACTTAGGGGCCAGCCGGATAGACCCTAAGCGCGGCCGTCCTGGAAAGGACCTCAGCTCGCTTGCCGAGGCGCCGAGCAGCGCGCGAAGACTTGGCCATGCGAGCCTTCATCTTGGCCGAATTGCCTGCAACGCGAAGCGCCCTGCCCGCCGCGCAGTCAACTCCGAGGTTGACCGTGGACGGCGAGCAATGCTGACAGAGGTTGCCGAGTTGATCCATCACCTGGAAGCCCGCAGACTTCGAGCTGGCAACGATGGCCGTCTGATCGAGGGCGAACGAGCGCCCGAACCCATGTTGGACCACCCGATCGAGACCCTTAGCGCCAGCCACGATGGAGGAAACTACAAATTTCGAATTTCCGATAACCGAGAGACCCCGGTCACCGATATAAGCGTCCATGCCAAGACCAGGGAACGACGGAATGGTGTCATAGCCTTCGGCGCAACCAACACGGTTGAGAGTGTTGGCCATCGAACAGCCTGCGATGGCTCCGCCGACGCAGACATATGGCCCCTCTAGCCATCCCCCTAAACTCAACAACCTGCCACAACGGTAAGCAGATACGCAAGGCCACATGATGGCCAAAGGGAAACCGAGTCTCTTACACCTGTCGTCAAGCTTTGCCAAAACATGTGTTCTCGTTGAACTTCGATAAATCGAAGAATATGCTACAACTCGCTTCTCCCCTGGCCAATCCGCTCTC